GCGCCATTCGGCTTCAGAGAAGGATACGGAGGGTGATGCAAATCACGGTTTTGTTCCGGAAAGAGAGCATGAAATTCAGGATGTACGCTCTATGGTTGTCGGGTTTGGTGGCAGGCATCATTTGGGCTTGCCAGGCTTCAGGTCCAAAGCTCAAACGCTTTGATGCAAAGTCCCAACTGAAAAGTGAACGTGACGCGCATTGACGAGTAGACGTCCTCATTTATGAGGATCATGGCTGCAGAATATGCCCTGCTGGACCTAGGACCCTGGCAATAAATGGCAAACAAGTAAACCTTCAAACCCNNAAACCCTGCCTGGTGCGAGTGTGAGAGTCGAAACCTGCTTTGACATTTCTGACAACATGAAACCCACAGAGAACCCTGCCCAACCCCAACCCCACCTTCTAGGCCTTAAAGAGATCTGGAAGGGATTCTCACAGAGGCCTTTTGCTGCTCCTCGGCGGCATCTGTGCGCGGATCTCGGACTTCGCTGTTCACTCTACAGGTGTGTACGCATCTCCTTCTTGTAGGGGTTGTTGCGATGGTTCGACAAGGCCTGGAGCCCCCGGGAATCGGCAAGCTCCCTGGGCTTTTGTGGGAGGCCGGCCCAGGAAGGAAAGGTCGGTTCGGCGTTCGTGAGTTCAGAGAAGAAGGATGCTTCAAGCAGCATAATTGTCGCAAGCAGGAGGCAAGCGCTTCACATTTTTGTAGAGGCATTATAAGAAGAAGTGGGTTTATCACACTTTATCGCACCTCATATATGACAGGCAGCTCCCGTGTGCTCCGCACGACAGGGTCTCGGCCTCGGCCTCGGCTTTGGAAGATCCAAAGCTCCTTTGCAACCCGCTTCCCAGCACCGTCGTCGGTGTAAGTTGGCTATAGGTGCTCCGTCGCCGTGTTGCCGATGAGGTGTGGCCGGGAGTGCATTCCTTCAGCTTTACGTTCTTCCCGTGCCACGGGATCCGATACTCCGAGACAAACTTCACAGAAGAATCTTGTCTCGTGACGTGGCAGGCACAGGAGGCAACGATCGCCGAGCTCACTGAGAAGTTGTCGCAGCCGGAGGACTTCGCGGTCGGTCCACGACTGAGGCATCAGAGGCCGACTTCAAGAAAGTTTTCTGGGATCCCCCTCTTGAACCTCGCCTGGCTCGCCCGGAGTGCCGACATGCTTTTGCAATTGCAAAGTTGTTGAAGCCGTCAGTGCTGCGAAGGAGGCGCAAATAGCTGGTATAGCGGCTAGTACTGCCTGCCTGCCTGCCTGCCTGCCTTGAAGACGGATTGCTCGGAACTCAGGACAAAACGTGAGTGGGCGTGTGCGTGGGCCCTGGATGCATACCGCTTGCGGACTTAAGCTTGGTTTTTGACAGGCTTCACAAGCATGCACTCGCCCTCTAGGCATCCACGAGCCGCTAGCTGCCTCCTACACAGCCATACATTCAAGCGCTGACCCACTGTGGACATGCAGATGCAAGCGTGTGGGGTATGTTCACGCTTCTGCCCGCTCACATGGACACTGTTGCAGATGATTTGAGTGTTGTGGCTGAGGTTCACCCGATAAGCTAAGTCTTTTGCACGAGGATGGCTACGCAATTCCGTGGTCCATCATTGGCCTACGTCGACATCGGGGCCGACAAGGATGCGGCCGCGCGCCTGATCTGCTCGCTCGAAGCTCGTGCTAGCTTTCGCTATGTTCTTTTTTTTGTTGTGTGTGTGTGTATGTATGTGTATGTGTGTGTGTGTGTGTGCGTGTGTGTGTGTGTGCGTGGGTGTGTGTGTGTGTGTGTCTGCGTGCGTGTGCGTGTGTGCGTGCGTGGGTGGGTGGGTGGTGGGGGTGGGTGGGTGTGTGGGTGGGTGTGGGTGAGTGTGGGTGGGTGTGGGTGGGTGTGGGTGGGTGGGTGGGTGGGTGGGTGGGTGGGTGGGTGTGGGTGTTATGTTGCGCGCAACAGATGTGTTAATTCAAAGCGGCACTGCTTTGACCAGCCACTATTGCATGCAACAATATTGTCCGTAAAATCATATTGTTGATACTCCTATATTGGTTGCTCAGACTCCCCAAAGGACGGGAGATGGTCGGCTCTTCTTACTTGGCTCATACCGGCTTGTCCCGAGGTCCTGGAATATGGCGAGATGGAGGCTCTGTGACCGGGGCTTGTGAAGCCTCGAAGGCTGCAGGGGAAAGAAGGTTACGTATCGCGCATGAATTTCATTCGGTCAATGTACAAAGCCTTGGACTTTCTGAAGGACGGCTTCCCCACGAAGCGGGACCCAGTGCGGAAGGGGAAGCAGGCAGTTGTGCACCAGCGGGTAGACACGGCCTCGAGTCCGACGGTTTCGCTGCGTTTTTCATGGCAGTTGCAAACCGCAAGTGTGCCGTCCTTTCGCTCATCTGTCCCCAAGCATATGTTCCCGTCTTTCTGCGCCCCGGCCCTCCAGATATTGATGTGCTTGTGAAGTATTTGGTGATTGGCTAATCCGCATGGGGTGTGTCTTGTACGACCTCTCTCTCATTCTCTCGTGCTTGCCGCGCGTCCGAGTTGCGCGGCCGCAGGCTAGTCCGATGTAGAACCTTTCTGGAATGGCTGGAGGTTTCGCGGACTCTGCATGTCAGCTCACCAGCCCCCTTCTGTCCGGGCCGTGTCCCGTAGCATAGCCTGGAACGGCACGCCCCTGACAGATCTCTGCTCGGATCCTCGAGTTCAACGAGGAAGCCGACCGCTTCTACTTGACCATGAGGTGCAGCACCGGGAGACACCCAATAGGTAAATGACGGTATGTGTTGCCGAATCGGGCTAAGACTTTCGCCTCCTTTGATTCCTTGGTTGCCTTAGTTACCTTAGTTGTTCCGTCACGACTTTAGCTTCACAGATCAAGGACCAGAAACCCTGGCAAGAAGAATGGGTTCCGACAAATGCTGAGGTCAGGCGACCTATCGCGGCCTCCGAGGCCCTGTTGCCCAGCATCTGCTTACTCTCAGAGGTATCAGACTAGTAGCGCACCGGTACCCTGCCAAAGCGCCTGTGAGAGCTGCCAACTTTCTTGGAGGAATTGTAGGCCAGAGACAGGATGGTCATGGGTGGCCCTTAATGTGCCCCGATAAACAGCGCAGG